GTTATTCCATATGTACATCTAGCAATTTTATTTAAATAGAAACTATTTTCAGAAGGATCTTTGATGAATTCACCACTCTAACACAACACCAACCAAACTTTTCAAATCAATATTTCTGCTTATAAATTTAGCTGATTAAATTATCTTAGATAGTCTACATTGCATATATAAGGGTAACATTTTGAATTTCATCTTCAGTATTTCAAAATTCAGAATGGACAAATTTACTGACTTCACTAAACCAAACCCGCCCATTACTCATTAGTCTAGTAAATTAAACCACACCCACTTCTCATAAATATTTCAATAGCATTTGAAATTTGGTTTTCTCTCTCTCTCTCTCTCTCTCTCTCTCTCTCTCTCTCTCTCTCTCTCTCGGTACTGGGAGTGAACTCATAACCTCCTGCTTGCCAGGCGGACACTTATGCCACTGAGCTAAATTACCGTCCATTATTCTCATTTTGAAGTAGTATATTTATTATAAAAAATACTTTAAGCAAATAAAAGACAGGGGCAATAATACCAGATGCCCCTGAGTTCCCTTTGTCAACTTTAGCAGTTATAAACATATGGTAAATTACATAATCCCCTCTTCTTATATTACTCTGAAACTAATATGAAATATCATAATTTTTTGTTCATAAATATTTCATTAATTATTTCTAAAAAAAGACTCTATCTATTAACGTAAAACATCAAATCAGTGATGAAATTTCCAGTTGTATACTACAGTATGCTTGTGTGAGTGTGGGTGTGTGTGTGTATGTGTGTGTGTGTGAATTTTACTTAAATATGAAGCCAAAGTCTGTACATCTTTGTTGGACTATGTTTGAAGTTCTCTTTAAGATATGTTTATTTTCCATCATTTTTCCTGCAGTTTAAAGAAATTAAGTTCTTTTGGATACTGGAGGTATCCACATTCTAGTGTCTGCTCATTGCTTCTCTATAATGAAGTTTATGTGTTCCTCTCATCTCTGTATTGTATTTCCTGTAGATTTGATAGTTGCATGTAGATGACTTGATCATATTTAGTTCTTCTTTTTCGATATTGTTAGGTTTGATTTGGGTTTTTCTGTTGTTTTGTTTTTTGTAAGATTCATTGCCTTAAATACTTTCCTTGTCTCTGGGACACAAGGCTCCAACAGGTGTCGAGGTTTTAGTCTGTAGTTACCTGGCTCCACGGCAAGGCAGAGTGGCAGAGAAGACTCACTAAAATGAAACAAATGTCTTTTTGTCACCAGTTTAATGAGTTGATCAACTGGTCTTTACATTTAACCTAAACAGAAAGGGAGATAAATACAAGCTTAATTTTCAACTTTCAATCTTTTAAAAAATTAGTTTGTTAGATTTGCAGTTGGTCATTGTACCTGAATTTTTACCTTCTCAAGTAGAGACTGAGACAGATATATCCATTGCAGTTCTTCCTAAACCGCACTGCAAAATAGATGTAGGATGACTTAGTAATTCTGGTGGTCAGCAGCATAGGAGAATATCTAAAATCTACAGCATTCTATGATGTATTCCAAAATACCTAGGAAAGTCCAAAGCCGCCAACACATAGAAATCACTGCTATTAAGGAACAGAAATATTAAATTTCCCTGATTTGAACATTACATTGTACATGTGCATCAAATTATCCTACCATGCTCTATAATTAGGTACAAATACTTTGTGCCAATAAAAATACATGTTGATAGGAAAAAAATTAGTGACAAAAGCCCACATATTATACGAGTTCATGTTTAGGAAATGTCCAGAAAAGATAAATACACAGAGACAGCGTGAGAATTAGTGGTTTCCAGGAGCTGGGGGAAAGAGGAACTTCTTAAGGAAGATAGAGTTTCCACTTGAGGTGATGAAAATAATTTGGAACTAGATGGTGGTGACAGATGCACAGTCCTCTAACTATGTTGAAAGTCACTGAGTTACACACTTTAAAATGGCTACAATGATAAATCTATTAGGTAATTTTACTACAATCAAAAATTAAGCAAAAAACAAAGACCTATTACTTTTTAATAATGGCCAGAAGACCAAGAGAAGTCCACAGAAGTGTTGAAATGTACCTCTCAGGGAGAAAGGCAGACATCAAGCCACCTTTTTCTTATACCAATTTCACACTCTCTTTATATCCCCAAAGTTCCAACAAAGGAAAAATAAAATCTGTGAAAAAAAATTTTTTAAATTTTGCTAAACCATAAATGTATCCAGGGACCCCTTTTCATGGTCAAAGGGATAAGAAGGTATTTTTCACACACTCTTCAAACAGAGAGGATCCTTTTACCATCCGAAATCGAACACTCTTTCCTATTTTTTAAAATTTATTTTATTTTATTTTTTACTTTTAAAAAGCAAAACAGAAAGGTAGAAATAATAATTTCGAAAAACAACAGTAAGAAAGCAACACTAGTTAATACATTACATATTGTTGTCTTAGAAGTTCAAGTTACAAAATCAAAGCTTAAAAAATGAACAATCAAACAATGACAGCACAAACGGTTCTTTTTGATGAACAGAATTAGTAATATCTAATTATTACTATCTATCTTGTACACGTACATACATATAGTTACATGTGTATACAAGTTGTTCTTTCCTTTTGAGCACTTTTTTCCCTATCATTATTACAATATCTAATGTACATTTTGAATCTTCTTACTCTTTCAGCTTTTTATTGTTATATACTTTTTACACTAGAGAGACAATGTGATATTTACAAATATGAGTGTTATTTATGTCACTTATGAGGATAGTTTCAAGTTGCTTCCATTTACCTGTAAGAGCCTCAAAGCCATCCTTTCTATTGCTGAGTAATATTCCATTGTATAAAAATACCACATCTTTTTTATCCATTCTGCGGTTGATGGGCATTTTGGTTGTTTCCAAGATTTAGCTATTAAAAATTGTGCTGATATAAACATGGATACACATATATCATTATGACATGACATTTTCAATTTTTCTGGAAAATACCTAGAAGAGCAATAGCTGGACTGAAGGGACTTCCAATCTTAGTTTTTTGAGGAATCTCCATATTGATTTCCATAGTGGCCGCACTAGTCTAAAGTCCTACCAACAGGGGAAAAGTGTTCCTTTTTTCCCACACCCCCACCAACATTTGTTTTCAGTTGATTTCATGGTGGCAGCCATTCTTTCTGGAGTGAGATGGAATTTCAATGCTATTTTAATTTGCATTTCTTGAATGACCAGTGATGGTGAACATGTCTTCATGTATTTATTTGCCATTTGTATTTCTTCATCTGAGAAATGCATATTCATCTTTCTTTCTAGTTTTGAAACCAATTTGAGTATTGATTTTGTGTGTGATATGATCATATACTTGTGTTAGAAAAAGCATGTTAGGAAAAGTTGCAGAAGGGACTGTCGGGATGAGGAAGAGAGAGAGAGAGAGAGAAAGAGAGAGACGAAGAGGGAGGGAGGGAAGGAGGGAAACGGGCCTTGGCGTAGATTTCAACATGGAATTCACCAACATTAAAATAACATATGAAGCTGTGGGAATGTATAAAACCATTTGGAAACAACTACAGAGAGAGAAAAGCAAAGAAAGCCAAGGCCAGAACACAAAAGCAAAGATATATCATCACTGAAGGAGGAAGTTAAAGGAAAATAAACTCAGAGGAAACTGTGGGATCGTAGCCAGAGAGACAAGAAGCCAGCCAGAGATATTTCTTATGGAAACAAACAAAGGAGGCTGTAAAAGGGCCAAAAGTTGAACAATGTCTACAAAACAATTAAATAAGAGGTGGGCTGACAGGTGTCTGGTGGATTTGGTAACTAAAGTTTTTAAGAGTAGTTTTATGAAGAAATAGTAATAGAAGACACACAGTAATCAATGAAGAAATGACCAGGAGGAAGAAAATAGTGAACATAAATAAGTTTTTCTTCTCAAATATAGAAAGGAGGATTATCTTCTAATGGGAGCAATTCAGAAAAGCGAAGAACTGTTTGCTTTGTGTGGATGACAGGAACTTGAGCTGAGAAAGAAAAGAAAGAATGAGATATTTAGAAATGAGGCTGGAAAGAAAAAGAATATAAATAACATGATAGTACAATGTAAAGAAGCATTCTGAAGGGTGAAAATTATTGAGAATTCAGATATAATTTAGAGCACAAATAGAACTTGGCAGACAAAAGATAAAGGTGGATGTAACTTCAGGTAAGTTTATGGGTTAAACTATACAGAAATACATTTTCTTAAAGAAATTCATATCCAATTACTGCTGTTTTATTAGTGAAATAGTAAGTGAGGTCCTATTAAACAAAGAGGGGGGAGACAGAAGATTTGAAGCCAGTAGTGAAGGGTTTGAATAGGTATTGAGAAAGACGGCAGAGAGAGAGATTATAGAACAATGAAGGTAGAGTTGGGATTAGATACTGATTACTTTTATTGTCCAAAGTCAGTAAAATTGGTGATCACCCTAGCTAAGCTAATCCATATGAATAAGACTAGAAAACACAAATGGTTACATAAATCATTAAGAACTTTTGGGACCCGGGTATTGATAATACTAAGATAAGAGAAGTTGGAAGTAAATAGTTAAGAGGAAGCACCTTGGAATCTAAGCCACAAAGTGATCAAAGTACAAGCAGATGGAAACCATCTGCAAAGAAGGAGGAGCTGGGGATGAACAAATTCTCCTTGGTGTGTTTACCACATAGCCAATCAAATGCCTTTAGAATCCAGGATTGAACAAGCCGTTTATTATAAATTTAATGGCAAACACATGACTTCCTTGACACAATGAATTGGTTACACACATCCACTGTGAACTGACAGCTTCACTGACAGTGACTATGCTTCTCAAGTCTCCATTTTTGTCACAGTGGCAGGATGAATACATGGCTAAAGCTTATTCTATGTCTGAAGTTGAAAATTAGAGCATATATTAAAGTGAAAAAAAATAATTCAAATGATAACATTTTCCCTTTTGGATTGTAACTTGCTGTATTTTTACTTTTTCTTCATTTTTATTTTCAGAATCCCTGTAAATGAAGAAAATCAAGATAATGTCATGCACTCTGATGGTAAGAAGCAAAAATATTTTATTTATAACCTTAATCCCAGAAAAGAATGAGTTCAAAAGTTTAAACTATTGGTGATTTTTTAATAAACTTTGTCCCACAGAAGCCCAAATGTATCTGGAAGGAAATAAAATGTGCCTTATATGTTAGCTCTCGAACTATTTTATGAAAACCAATAAAATGATTTTATGATTCAATTACAAGTATCAAATAAGCCATAATGGGCTTGGGATTTAGCTCAGTGGCATAAGCGCTTGGCTGGCAAGCGTGAGGTCATAAGTTTGGTACAAAGCCCTAAGTTTGTACCAAAAAAAAAAAAAAAAAAAAGCCATAGTAAGAATCTTAGACATATATTGTGTTTTGTAATTCTTTGTCTTTGATACAGCATCAGTTCTATTAGTTCAGTTAACTATTTTAAATATTATTATAGCCAATAATCATATATGAAAGTTCCTCTTACTTACATGTATTAAAAAATTGTTTTTAATCCTTAGGTACTGGAAATCTAGAGGAGGTCAGTTTTTAAAAATTTTTTCTCATATGATACTGCTATTTTTAAAATACTTAACAATTAATGTGATTCACTTCCTATTGGCAGAAACCAAACATAAAATTTTAATGAGTAATGATAGCATTTTTCCATTTGTAATCTTATTTCATCTAAAATTCTTGAGACATGAAACACCAGTCAGTACACTGACTCATAGGAATGTTGCAGTACTGAATATAAATTCATGTCTGGCTACACATCTGAATGATACAAGAGAAAAATTAAATATTTTTGTACTTGATTCCTTTGTCTATCTCCTAGGACAAAAATAATTTTTTTTCAAGCAAGCCAAACTTACTTATATTTAAATCATATAAACTCAGAAATGCTTGCTTTACAAATATTGATCAATTAAGGATGTTTATGTTGCCTTTTTTTAATAACTGAACTTAATCATTATGTTTTCCTTTGACAGGAACAAGAGAGTGAAGGAGAAACATATGAAGACATGTATGAATCACATTTTTTTTTTACCATACTAGTTTTGTTCTAAGTTGAATATGTTTTGTAAGAAGGAGTGTGGGTATACTCTACCATTATGAGGGAGAAGTCTTATTGGTTCAAATGACTGGCATGTAAGGATAACCTAATACAAAACACTAAACATTCTTCACTTCTCTGCGGATTCTACGGAGGACTCTGCTAACAGGCTGTTGTGTGAGAGGCCCCAAACCTGCAGACTACTAGAGACACCCCAGGCAGGGATGTAGACATTGGAATTGGTATTTCTTCCTCTCAGTGTATCCTGGAGCAAATGAATTAATTTATTTGTTCTGCCTTCTTCACTCAGGCAGGGGAGGAGCTCTGGGAAGTAGTTTAACACAGCACCCAGATGCCAAACTTCCGACTTTCTGCAAAGATATTAAAAATGCCTCTCAAAAAAGTCTTCAGAATGAATCTTCAGTTAGTCTAAGATAGTTCTCGAAATGTGAGTGAAAGTAGATACAAGCATTTTAAAATCATGTCAAGCTCAGATATCATAATTTTCTCTACCTAGTTTTTATTCAACCCATTCTGACCAAAGTTACTCAACCAAAACTTGCATGTATGTCTGTAAATGCACACTCATAGTGGCCGAAAGGAAAAAGAGATTAATAATTTTATTTATGCTAACATGCAAAGACAGAACCCTTCTAACAGTGTCTTGCACTTGGTGGCACTTGGTGGTACAAGCAGAGCCTCTGGAAAGCACCTTCATTTTTGTGCCTCCTATTGACTTTAAAAATAGTCTCACACATCCAGCATTGTGTTACCTGTCTCTACACGTCAGAGACCATGTCTGGTGGCAGGTAAAAGCTTCTGTGGAGTATCTGACCCGTGCAGGTAAAGAAACAACCTAAGTATTTGTGTCCACAGAGAGGCCTCCAAAGAACGAGACAAGAAACGGGAAAAGGAGGAAAAGAAGAGATTAGAGCTGGAAAGAAAGGAACAGAAAGAGAAAGAGAAGAAAGAACAAGAATTAAAGAAAAAATTTAAAGTAAGAACTTCCTTTCTGATCAGTGAAACAGCAACGTTTTGACTTTCTCTCGAGCGGTGCCATTCTTGATCACTTCTATAATTGCAGAATTAATTATAGTTTTCAAAACAGGATTGGTCTTCCTAACAGCACTTTTTGTTTAATATACTATCTTACCCATGTACTACAAAATGTAATATGATAAATCCAAACAGCATGTAGTTTAGAGGCCTATAATCAGTAAGTACCTAGGAAATTTTATGTTGACCGAGTGAATGAATATTCCATTACTCAAACTCAGCCTGACTCTCCTGGTTACAAGTATCCTATTGGCATATTTTGTACACGAATTTAAGACCACACACACATATGTGCCCTCGTGCTATGTAATGTAATGGTATAAGTGAAACCAGTGCCCCTTAAATGAACCAGATTTCGGTGTCTGAACCTGACTTGCAAATTTGCTTATATTTTAAACTGGGGTACATGTTAACGTCTTTCTTTCCTTTTATTGTTTTAGACCTACAGAAAACATCAGAATAACTACACCATACATATAGGGTACAGTTCAGTGATAGAATACATGCACAAGACTCTTGACTTAGTCAATCAGAGGAGGAAAGGAAGGAAGAGAGAAAGAGAAAGAGAGAGAGAGACTACACAATGAGAAAAAGATAAACTGCACAATGCAGAGAGGGAAAATTTTTTATCTACTAAACAGACACCAACACAGTATGTTCCTTAAAAACACATTAGTTTGACATGGACCTTAGCACATAGATGGTTTTAGGTGTCAGCAGGCAGCTTGTAGAGTTCCTGTGGTAATAGATCACTCCCATTCTCTCCTGGATGCCAAGCACAAGTTCACCTGTTCTTTGCTGGCCCTGCTTGGCCTCTGGTTTTTCCCTAACTCTCCCTATTTGAACACTTACGAGGAATGACATTTACCTTCGATTTCTACTTAAAGCTTATAATTGTTGAATATAGGTAGGTTAGCAGGTTGTGGGTTTATTGTCTTCTAAAACTGCATTCTTTAAGTTTTTCTGAGTAGTAAGAAAATCTGTTATTGTTTTTTCTCCAATTGCAGTTAACCGGCCCTATTCAAGTCATCCATCAGGCAAAAGCTTGCTGTGATGTCAAAGGAGGAAAGAATGAACTGAGCTTCAAGCAAGGAGAGGCCATTGAAATAATCCGTATCACTGACAACCCCGAAGGAAAATGGTTGGGCAGAACAGCAAGGGGGTCTTGTGAGTGCACATTTCCCTATGATTTCAAAGTGGATTTTTTTGTGGGGAGCCAGTATTAAACGTTCAGATCTTTGCAGAATTACAAGCATCAAGTCAGGAGTATGTTACTGAATAGAAAAATCTAAAATGGCAAATTGAGTTCTATCTTAAATTCATGTCCCTAGTAAGGGACAGCGTATATTATTATATTGTCCAAGTTTTATATTATTCCAAGGAAGATCAAAGGTCATTAGAGTCTTCATTTAGGTTAAAATAGAAAAAATATTTCATGCAAATCATTTTAAAATCTTTAAATAGACTCTAGTCTTACTCCAAAGCACAATAGGGTAAGACTGAGAGAGTGTAGTTTAATATGTCCATGCGGGAGATTTGCAAATCAGAGTTTCAACAAGTAAAGGGAAATTTTAAAGAGTGGGTGGGCAATCGCTGCTTCATTTTCAGCTCTAAAATATTTAAGTTACAGTCACCTGAACTTATTAAGTCTCCCCTCCCCTTTTTCGGTAGATGGCTATATTAAAACAACTGCTGTAAAGATCGATTATGATTCTTTGAAAAGAAAAAAATCCTCTTTCACCACTCTTTCCTCAAGACCTGTTGAAGATGACCAAGAAGTATATGATGATGTTGCTGAGCAGGACGCTAGTCACAGGTGCGTGCAAATACAGCTGGTGAGTCACAGCAGGTTGTCTCCTTGTCAGAAGTCACGTGATTTGAAGGCGTGTAATTTTATCACCTTCAATACCTCTGAATGTTTGCTACCACTGAGTTGAGTCACCACTCATCATCACCTCAATGTGGGTGAAAGGTCATTTAAAACCCCGTAGTCTTCTGTTTTAGTCTTCGATTGTATGCCTCCAGTACTATTTGAAATATCGTGTGCCATTTGCCAGGTTGTCAAACATATTGTCATTGCAAAACACTGTTATTCAATGTACATTATGACTTGCTCTTAGTGATGTACCTAAAGTAAATATCTTGTAAAATGTATCGCATGAAATGTAAATTTTAGCCTTTGTTGCTCTGAAATCTAATACTAAATGTACTGTAGATTGTTATTATTTGAAAATACAACAGAAAAAATGAGTTTTACTATAACTTCTATGTAGCTTTTAGAAGTAGAACTTGAATTCTCTATGATTCCTGAGAATCAACAAAGGATCCAACTTTCTATTTCCCATTTACTCCTCTAGATTAGGATCACCTTTCTTCAAAAAGTAATGGAAAAACCTTCCCGGCATGAAGGAACAGAGCAAGACATGTTTCTGGAAAAGGAAGAGATAAGATTGGCCATCTCCTCCCCTATACCTCTGTATTAGTCAGCTCCACATTGCTACAATGAAATGCCTCAGGCAATTAACTTATAAAGAGAAAACATTTATTGACATCAAGGTTCTACCATTTCCAAGCCAAGATTGAGCATCCTCATTGCTTTAGGTATCTAGTGGGGGTGCCAGGTGGCAATGCCAGGGAACAGGAGTCACAGCAAATTGTTCACATCACAACCCATGATGCAGAGAGAGGAGAAAGGATGAACCCGGATCCCATAGGTCCCCCTTGGGGGCCATGCTTCAGTGACCTAAGGACCTTCTGTCAGGCTTCACTCCACCGCACCTCCTAATAACACCTTCCCGGGAACCAAATCTCTAGCACAGCTATTCAAATTCAAACCACAACAGCCTCTATTTCCCTTCTGCCAGGTCTCAGTCTTCAGCTTCCTTTTTCTGTCCTCCTCTTCTCTTTTCTCTCTGTCTTATCCGCATCCTTTGTTAACTTTCCTCCTCCTTTCTACTTTATCATTTCTCTTCTATCATTTCTTCTTTGTTTACAGCCTCTCTTCTTTTGAGTCACATCACTCCCTCAGGTCAAAAGAAAAAGGGAAGGAAAATTCCCAGCTCACCTAAGAATCCTCATTTTTCTATGTCCAATTTATGAAACTGGAAGCCCTACTTTGTGATCTCAAAAACAATTACTAGATCTTTAATTGGGTGAATTTGTGTTTACCTTCCTCATAATTGAAATTTCATAGGAAAACATTTAAAATGAGAAGCTGTGTTAACAACGTAAAATCATCAAGTTAGTAACATACTTATAAAGCACATTATGAATTATACTTCCTCTTATGACCTTTTACCTCAGGTCATCAATTAAACTTGTTAGGTTGCTTTATGGCAGTTTTGTCTTTCTAGAATGAACTACATCCTGCTACACATTTTCTCCATGTTACAGTCCTACATTATGTAACATATATTTAAAATGCAATGCCTGCAGTGAAGTTTGCAGATTATAAATGGACTTTTGTAATTGCAAACACACTGACTTTGTTTCAGAATCAGTAGGTAGGAGTTTTAGGGTCTGATGAATTTTCCAGTGGCCGTACTCTACAATTTATACAATTTTCTGAATGTAGATATAGCAAGTATATTATTGAGTGATCAAGAAACACCATGTATTTTTAAATTTAAAAAGAATTATTACAGTTAAAGACACACCACCATTAACTACCTTCAAAATACTCTTCCTCAATTCATACTCACTTATCCTATTATTCTTGCCACTTTCCAAAGCTGTTCTGGAAGTTGTCTTTCATGAGCATCTTTACTAAGTGTGATCAAATATATGCTGCTGTGTGCTCTCTAATTGCAACATAGGCTCATAAAAATGTTGTGTATCCTTATATCCACCTTATTCACCAGATCTGGCACTATGCAAATTCTGGCTCCCCCACCCCAAGACAAAATGACCATGAAAGGTAAATGTCTGGAATTGAGTCAAGACACAGAGGTAACCACAACAATACAAATAAAGTCACTCATGAAAGCCACTTTCCAGAATTGCTTCAGAAAGTGGCAAGACAGAGAAATAACTGTGTGCTTCAAACTCTGGGAGCAGACCTAAGGCTTGAAATAACAAGACTGTCCTTTTCTCTCTGCTCTCAGCTGAAGCAATTTCTACAAAGACAATGAGATAGTGAAGGGAAGAAATTAGCAAACGCAAACCTCATTCTTCCATCACATAGCAAACCCTCTTCTTTCCATGAATCCTCCTCTCTCTCTTTCTCCTTCTCTACCTCACTCACCCTTTCTTTCTCTCTGCCTGTGTCTTCTATCTCACCTCCTCTCCTTTACTTGTCAAGGGTTTTATGTTCTAAACAGTTCATTTTAGGATGTTGAAGAACTGGTCTAGAAGGAAAATAAATGGGTAACATCTTTGCTGTTTGTAACAACCATGTTCCTTAGGAAGTGGGTATGAGAATCTCCAGTAAAAACATTTGCCAGGGTCAGCAAGCAACCAGAATGCATTTAATTCTAATTACAGGCTTCACATCCAAAGGGAAGTGTCAGAGAAAATAGTTGTGACCATGGCACAGAAGTAGAGAGTACACTTCAAATTCTATAAAAAATCAGTTTTTCTTTATATAATACAGCATTGACAACATGGTTTTTCTACAAAGCTCCCCTAGCAACAGTATGTTTTTATTTCTAAATTAATCAGAGATCTGTACCAGATTAATTTCATCTACTGACTTAAGGAATCAGGAAAGTTGTCCTGTATAGTTGTGACATCAAATCAGTATCTAATGCTGGCAGATAATCCGAAGATCAAAAATGGAGGTGAAGAGTGCAGTTAGGCGTAGAAGTGGGATTGGTCACCCGGAATTCTCAGAGCCTTAGCTTCTTTTCTTCAGAATAAAGAAACTAAATAAATGCATAACTTCTGAAGGGTTTTCCCCCATTATCTTCACTGTCTCCATTATTTTTGCTCTCATGAAGCTCCTACTTTAGTGAGAAACACAGACACAAAAACAGATAATCATAAAAGCTAAAATATAGAAAGTACAGAACACTAGGAAAGTAAATAAACACAATCTGTATTGAGAGAGTCAGGACCACTTTAATTTTTAAAACGTTTTTCCTTTAAAAATTTTTAATGCAATTGGACTTACAGTAAAATGTTTTGGTTCCAAGATGCTGAAAGAAAATTGAATTTAATGCAATAATAATTGTTCTATATGGCCCCTGGAATAGCACTCTTGGGGAAAGTTTTAATAGTCCATCTACAGAATGATGTAATGATATATAACTCAAAAACAGCCTGGTGGGGAAATGTTAAAAGCAAATTGTATTGTTGGGATATCTTGTGCGATACTGTAACTCACTCAGTTCTGTTTTTGTTGTGGCAATTAGTTTTGTTGTGATGCCTTGTGGTTACACAACTATTACATTAAGGAGCATTTTTCTTCCTCTTCACATGGGCATGCTGATAACTTTTAACTAGAACGATATTTATCCCTTATGTAACTCCTCAGTACATGTACATTTCTTCCTAGGAGCTAAATAAATCATCTATTAACTTAATGTTTCTATTAACTTAGCATTTCTGGTTTTTTTCCAGTCAAAGTCAGAGTGGAAGTGCAGGTAAGCCACGTGTTTTCTATCAGTGTTTACAAATTCTTCACACATTGTCAACGTATTTCTGTACAAGCTTTCACATCTTCGGGGATATTAATTACAAAATGTTTTAGTTGGTTCCTAATCATGGAGATCTTACTGAAGAAAAAGAACATTGGCCTGGGAGCCAATGATCTGGATTTCCATCCTGGTCCCCAGCTGATTTCAAGAAAGTCATTCCTTCCCTCTGAGTCTGTTAGGGATCCAGGGTGATCCTGCTTACAGCGTGCCGAGGGCGCCCTGGATTTACACTAACTGCCCAAGCACAATTAGGGATTACTCGTTAATTCAATTTTTCTTATCACCCTTTCATTTTCCTTTTTACACAGCAAATATAAAACTCTAGCTCCTATTCAGTTTTACTTTTTCTTATGCTTATTCTTCCCCATTTCTCTCATCTCAAGTCCAAAGTGCCTTTTGCTATTCTTCATTTATTTATTATAAATTAAGCCCTATAAGTTCTTATAAAATGATCAACAATCATTTTACCTTCTACCTTTATGAGAGGGAGAGATTAAAGGACATTTTTATTGAAATGGTCAATAGGAAAGAGGGATGTTTTCTGTAGTAAATTAAGATAGATTTATTATTAAAATCGTAATGATCTGTGATCAAGTGATACAATTAACAAAATATTTCTGCATACTCCAACAGAAGGAGTGTTCCCACCACCACCAGATGACATTTATGATGGGATAGAGGAGGAAGATGCTAATGATGGGTAAGAATAATCAGCGAATTCGCTTGTTAGGAAATGTGGAAATTATTTCTCTATGGAAATTGAGCTTTGATTTCCAGTTAAGATAAAAAGCAGAAATTTGTGCTCCTTATTACATTCCCAAAATGATTTGAATGTTTACAGCAGTAGTAAATCAGGAAGTATAATTGCATCACACTTCAAATGAATGATAGATTGTTTGAAAGAATCCGGATAATTATCACAAAAGAAGTGAAATGAGAAGGATAAAGTACCAGCACTACAGATGTTTTTTCAAAGCTTTTCCAATCATTTATTTATCAATTGGTAATTTACAATAAGGTAGAGAGTTTATCACTTATATGGCTAGCTCTTGGATGATAATACAGTAATCAGAACTGAAATAAAGTTGCTACCTATAAAAGAGTACTATTAAATATAATTTTTTAGTTTAAGAATGTTTTTATTTATACTAATAATAATTTATAAAAATAAACATCTTTTAGGTTAATGATCAAACTTTATTTCCATTTTGAAATGGTATATTTAAAATTTAAAGTCTACTGATCACTTAATTTTAATCATAATGCTAAATTAACTGAGTCTTAACTTATTTAGGTTCATATTTTAAGAATCAAGAACTAAATAGGAAAAAAATAACTAATATAGTAGGAAGTATTCAAACAACATGGTCTATAAGTTTAATAGCACTGATTTGTTGAATACAGGAAGCTATTTACTTCACACTGATCAATATAGTGTAATCAAAAATCTGAATGTCCACCCAATGTCTTCACATTCTGATTATTACATTCTGATCAATGCCTGCATGCTCCAAAGCTCCACGCTACAGGTTGAAGAGAAGAGTAGCACGTGGTCCTGGGGAATTTTGAAGATGTTAAAGGGAAAAGATGACAAAAAGAAAAGTATACGAGAGAAACGTAAAGTCTCTGAGTCAGACAATAATGAAGGTTCATCGTAAGAGTCAACCAACCAAATTCACTACAAATAACTACACTAATGTTAATTTAATTGAATGCTACTAATATTCTATAATCAATAATCAAATTCTGATAGACTTAAACCATCTGTACATTCCATTAATCATCTTAGACTCATATATGGTACCATTCTTAAAATCATTCATCTGTTAATAAGAGGAACCCACACATTAAAAAGTCATCATGTAACTCAAAATATTTTACTTTTCCCACAGGCATTCATAGAAACACAGGACACACACATGTACACATATACTTCACACATTCATTCTACACGTTCACACATGAATACAAATTCCATTTAGCAGGACTTTTTAATGGCAGCCTCTCATTCATAAGCTTACCCTTTCAGTTCCAGTTCATGTTACAAATAGTAAAATCTATATTTTTTATACTGATTACTCTTAAAATACATATTTTCTATTAAACAAATAATTTGCTAGAGGTGAAGGTCACAATTCGGGATTTCTTTTCTCTAAATACAGTTTTTATGGTCTTAGTGACTCTGTTCCATAATAATTACTTCATGTCTATTTCTCCTGTACTAAAATTATTCTAACTATATACCTTAAGTTTATCTAAATAGTAAACTTTCACTGATACAACGGTAAGCTACATGAACTGCAAACATGCTCAAATAAAATTTTAAAATTATTTTAAAAATTTGACTAAATGAAAGCTAAAGCACAAATTTTCTCTTTCCACCCCTAAAATAGCCTTCTAGTATACATGTGAATTTAAAGGATCTTAATCGTGTTTTGGGGCACAGGAAAGTCTTTCTGTTTCATAGGTACTAATGGATTCACTACATTTAGCTAAAGTCTAAAGGCTGTTAATTCCACATAGCATTACTAATTTTAAACCCAAAATTATATCATGAAGGCAAAACACAAAACCACAGTCAATAAACATCATACTTGAAATTTTAAGAAAGCGTAACAAGAAATCTTTGAACATTATTCAGACATAATCTTTATTTAAAAATAAAAGGGGATTTTTTTCTACTTCAATTACATACCTCCCAATTCTGATTTTGAATCATCTGAATTAGTAATCCTTCACACTCTAGTCATTTCTGTGCTATGCACCATTCTTTTGAAGATGTGTAGATATTCGTGTATATTTGTGTATTTAGAAGTCATAGTTCAAAAAGTAACACATGCAAAAACCATTTTCTGTTGCAACTAAATGCCACTTAATACTGACTTCAGATTTCTTCTACTAATAAGCTCTCACTGTGTAGTTTAAGTGACTGTTCCTCTCTCATTTGCCATTCTCTTGCTTGGGGGTATGTAATATATATGGGAAAATGTAGTCATATTCCTGTGTAGAAAGAAATCTTTCATATGACCTGTGTAGATTGGGGCTTTGCATTTTACTCTTCAATTCAAATAAACAGTTTTGAACCAGAGCTGTGAATGCCATAAGGACTCCAAAATAGAGTCCATTTAATTTATCCTGGCGCAATATATGCTCAGACCTTAGAACAAATCTGAAAACATTGGTCTAATGGCTGTTGGAAAAACAAGGCATCTATAGGTTCTTGACTTTTGACTTGTTTTGCCAACACTGGGGTTCAAAAGCTTCCAAATTGGTGGACAGAAACTAAGACTTACTGAGAAAATGGAGGATGAGAAAGGAACCATGGTCAACAGATTAATTAATCTTTTTAAGCCTCTGGGCATTACTCCATGTATACTTCTCCTATACAGAGGAGTTAATTTCTAGGTCTGATTATAATCATGTTCTCATTTTCTTTCCAGTTTCCCTTCTCCTGCTAAACAATTGGGTAAGTAATGAAAACTAATTATTTGTTTTATAACTTTGTTTTTATACATGGGCTAGTCGGAAGAGTTGAATATTGTCACAGTACTGTTAAAGTCTTGACTCTGAAAATAGTAAATTTTGTCACCTTGAGCAGGTAACTTCAACTTGGATGACCACAATTGCTGTCATTAAAACAGTGAAATGAGAAAAATAAAACAGGCTGATTGCATTAAAATTATTCTACCAGAAGCCTCTGCAGTTAGGGATAAATGGAAAAGATACATACCAAAATTCCCCATGTCCCCTGCCTGTTTGCCAATAGTATGTAGGATTCTTGAATAAAAATATCTAAAAGCATACCAGATTATATGCCATTGAGGTCCTTCTACATCTACTAGTTGTATAATTTATATTGTATTTGGACATTGTTAACTATAACATAGTTTCTTTTTCATACAATTCAGTTTCTTTATTCCTGTTGAGACACATCTTTGAAATTTTTTAAAATTTTGTCTGAACAAAATAATATGTGATTTCCCAAGAAAATTCAGGGGCTTTTGAAGAGTTTATAAATATATTAAAACAGCAAACCAACAGAGAGAGATAATCTATTCTTTCAAACTAGTTCTGACATTAGAACTTTCCTTGCAGTTACAAATTTTTAAAAATAGGAACTAATTTAGTATATGCTGGTAAATTTATATCTTAGTCTGTAATATGTTTTAAAAATTGTTAAAACTTATTACAAATCCCACAAAGAGTAGATATAAATTGAAACAAATGTAATCAATTCCATTTAAAATGTGGCTTTGTTCATTTATGTTTGTTTATTCATTAATGTTTTTCTCAACCATATTTTAAATCCATCTGCATGAGATAGTAATTTTTACCCTTCTGAAAACTAATGATGTATTGTATTTTGAAAGTATCTATTATGGGCTTTTCATATAGCTGAGCAAGTTTTATTTTGTGATATAAACTTGAATGCATACATATACACACAGGCAGAGATATAGTTTTGTTTTTCAACACTTGGGATCAAATCCTGACCGTTATGCATACTGGGCAACTGCTCTGCACTTAACTGCTTCTTCAGTTCTATAATCGTTCCATAGATTTTGTTTTTGTTTTAGACAAGGCCTCATTATTTAGTTCAGACAGGCCCTGAACTCACCATGTAGCTAATCTTGGCCTTTAGCTCCAGATCCACCCTTCTGAGCCTTCCAAGTGTTGAATTACAGGCATGTGCCACTATGCTCAGCCATTTCTTAGAATTCTTGAATTTCTTCAACTCATTGCTTCAGTTTAATTTGCTATGAAACAGGTTAAGTGCAGAGAAAAAGCACTCCTCCTGACTTTAACAAGTTAAGAAGAAAAACAAAGTATCTACAGAGTGGAAAGATCATTGAACCAATTAAGGCATAGCAACTTTTCTACCGGTTTTCAATATTTTTTCTTTGGTTAGAAGTGGGAGAAGAAGTGTACGATGACGTGGATGCCTCTGACTTCCCTGCTCCACCAGCAGAGATGAGGTAATTGACATGCTTTTATTACCATGGATTGAAAATGGGATTGTTGAAAGCCTCACCTAGAATAAAAGCCTGAAGGTGTGGAATCTACTGTTTGCAATCATACTGATTCTGTCCTCCCGTGTAAAGCCCTGTGGTTGTCAGGTCCCAGCTCTGACTTCACTGCTAGGCTGTGAGCAGACCTAATACCCTTCCCCCTTCTCTCTCCCTCCTGGTACACTCACTGCAGCCCCTCCCACTCCTTCGACCCTGGTCCTGCGGTTCTGCTCCTGGTCTCCTGATTAACGTGTGGTTCGTGACTCATTAATTTCTGCGTTCTTTTATTTGCTCATTTACTGGGAAAACATGTTTGCGATCCTGGTCACAAAGGATCTCGATGATTCATCTCCTCCCTTTATTTTTATTCTTCTCCCAAACCCTTTTTGGTCGTGAATTTACCTCTTTATCTTACATCTCAGCCCTCATCCTTCTTGTTCAAGCCCCTTTTGTCTTCCACCAAATTATTTCCTTTACAAAAAAAAAAAAAAAAAAAAAAGGATTTGTTGTTTAAAAGGACTTTAAGATACAGTATGTTTTTTTTCACAAAAGCATCAAGGTCTGGAAAGTTCCATTCAAAGATTCTTTCTTTTTAAATCCAATGGTGAATAGTGAGCTTCTTTAACTCAACTGAGATTTCAGTTTAATTTGAAGCTAAAAGTGTACGAAAATATATTAAATGACTTAATACAACAAAGCCACATTTTGAAAATTCTTTTGATAGAACACAGAATGTTTGTACCTTTTCAAATAAATATGTAATATGGTTTGATAATACTGCATATAAAAGCAAGAACACCATTTAACACTTTCAAGAAAAAAGAATGTTGAATAAAAAAGATGCCATATTTGATTAAAGGAAGAAAGTAATATAAACGGATACAAGTGGTGTCTTCTGAGCTGTATTCATAAGAATGCACGAGAGGACTAGAAATATTTACTTTTTACCAGCATAGTTAAACTAATTTCACCAAAGCAGAGACAGTTTCTAGATCAAAGAAGTCAAAAGGAAAATGTGCTGTCATTCATAGATGAAGATCATGGCTATTAGTCAAAACAAACAAGACAGATGGAAAGAGAATCATTCTTCTTCAATGCTTCATGAAAAGAAATTCTAACCTGCAGTAACACGTTTAAGCTTTTGTCTTCCTCTCCATGGGGAAGTCATTCCTATTCTTGATAGTGTTTAATGCATTTTTCTGTTTTATATTACTGTAGAATGCCACCACATTCCCTAAAGCAGCTCTCCAGGAACCCAGAGTCACACACTGGCCTTTGTCCTACAGCAAAACAAGCTCCAGCTGATCAAACCTGAGCTGATACGGACTGTTTTCTTACTCACGGCTTATTCTCAGAGTTTAAAACAATGCTATGTTTTTTTTAACATAGCATTCAGTTTTTAAATAAATAATTTGTAAAGCTAGCTTGTGGAACATTTTTAACATTCATGCATATTTTGACATCCCCTGAGGGCTAATTGGGTCCAGCAGTTCCACCAACCTCCAAACTATGGCAAGGCAGGAGATGCTGAGGGCAGAAGGCAGACACTGTATTGGTTCTTTTTACAGTGAAGGAACTCCAGGCAAAGAATCAAAAATTTGGAATCAAACTTCTCAAATAAATTACTTGTAAACAAACCTGCAGCATCTTGTATTATCTAAACAGAAATCTACATTAGAGTTTAAAAATGTTTTACCACTCAGGGCCAAGGATTTAGCTCAGCAGCAAAGTGCCTGCCTGGCAAGTGCAAGGTCTTGAGTTCAATTCCCAGTACAAAAAAAAAGAATTTATTTTAAAAGTTTTACTATTCAACAAATAGTCTAGTTCTAAAATTTTCTTCTATGGAGATTAACAGCCTTTCCCTAGCATCCATATTTAACACTGGCAAGTGGATCTTAACCTGGACAACAAATTAGTGTCACCTGGAGAGGTTTATATATGTCAGTAACCAAACCCCACCCAGACTAATTAGATTAGAATTTAAAATTAATTTAAGCAAATATAAATTAAATTAGAATTTCTAGGAACTGAGTGAGGGCCTCAAGTGATCACATATATGACTAGGTTAGAGAATCACTCCTAGGTTAATCTATCTCTATTATCATAACTTGCTTTAATATAGTAAACATAGAAGTGATATTACAGAATTCCATAGTTGGGCCCTAGGGTATTTTTGAAAACTTGAAATTCATTAATTGGTCAAAATATCTAAAATATATCTTTCTCCCATTACAAAAACATTCATTAAAATGGACATTTTAATAAAGTAGTTAAGATAAAGATTAAATATCCATCATTTCTCTTAAGAAGCGCTATCATGTAACACCTAAAATTTTAATTTTATCTAAAACTTTTTTATTAATCAACATTTTCTTCCTTTCCTTCTCCATCTACTTTTATTTATTCACTTATTGGTGCTGGGAATCAAACCCAAGGCCTCATGTACACCATTGAGCTTCACTTCTAGCCTATGTGGCTCCATTTTAAGTATATATGAAAATATTAGCAAATAAATCAATAAATCAATCCAAGTCACAAAAATCAAATCTTAAGCATTCTGTCTGAGCCTTTTCTGTGACATTAACCCAGTCAATTATCTAAGAAGTGTTTGAAATATAAAAGATACAAGTTGAATCACATGAAACCACTGGTATGCAAACATGTTTCAGCTATTACTCAGTGATTTTATATGGTTCAAATTAAGAAGCTCTCAACTCCATTTTAACTTGTAAGCTGCATTCAATTGAAGAATCTCTTCTGAGTTATAAAATATTATCAATTATTATAAATGCCATTGTTTTCTAAGAAAAAATTAAGAACAAACTAGAACAAGAATGTAATACTAATAATTAGTATCATAGTATCACTGATATAGTCTATTTCATATATATATATATTTTTTTTTTTAATGAAGTGTTGTTTGATGTGTGTTCTGCCACCCTAGTTATGGAATCAATACTGGAAAGACCAAGACAGAAGACAAAGATCCTAAGAAACTGAAAAAGCAAGAGAAAGAAGAAAAAGACTTCAGGAAAAAATTTAAAGTAAGTCACATTTAGTAACATGCAATTCAAGGTATTAACAAAAGAAATCTGACTTTTAAATAATGAAATATATAATCACTTTAAAATATACTTGTAGAAACTAGGGAGTTAGCTTAGTGGTATAAATGCCTGCCTGGTAAATGTGAGGTTGTGAGTTCAATCCTTGGTACCAAAAAAAGGAAAAAGTAAAAAATAAAGTATACTTGTGAACATTATAATTACCCATCATCCTTTATGTTCTACAAAATTCATTTTTGATACAAATTAATTCCTTTAACAAATTAAACAAGTTATCATAATATACAATCTATATGCTATCATAATTTAAATTTAGATGTTCTTTGAAACTTGATAAGAAAGTAATCTAAAAATAATTGTTATATGAAATTGGTGAGATTATAAGTGACCCCTTACCCCTTCCAAAATTATCTTTAATGTTCTTATATTGTACTTGAAAACACTGAACTATTTATTTGGTAAAGATCACCTTAATAAACATGTTAGGGAATGGGTTATATAGTAATATACATGAAGCAGTAACTTATATGCATTTGTTTTTCCAGTATGATGGTGAAATTAGAGTTCTCTATTCAACCAAAGTTTCATCTTCATTACCTTCTAAAAAGTGGGGGACTAGAGATCTACAGGTAAAACCTGGTGAAGCTCTTGAAGTTATACAAAACACAGATGACACAAAAGTTCTCTGCAGGAACGAAGAAGGAAAATGTAAGTTGCTGCTTATGCTCTGCACAATGGCACTCCAGAATTTCAACAAGCAAACACGTTTTAGTGATCACCTTGTTTGTACTAACTAGTTTTGCTTAAAGGTTTGTGTGAGTTGCAGAAATAAAGAAACCAGAGATGATGCTTAGAGATAAAACTCTGGGAATCAAATGGAATCTGAAGCCCTAATTTCTTACCTGGCATGTTCATGTGTACTCTAAAGTGAGAAACACTGTGCCAAGGTAGTGAGTAACTCTTGCTTTGCCTTGGTAGTGAAATTATATAACATACCTCAAATCTAGAATTTACAGTTTTCCTACCTTACTAATTCACTTGTTTTTATTTGCTCTTTGGATTCACTTAATGCAACACATTGCCCCAAATAAGTACAAGATAGTCCCTGTCCTCTTTGATTTTATCGTTTACTAAAGTTGACAGAAATAGTTCTGTCAAATTTTGAAAAGAAGTGTATTTAAAATTCAGAGAAGTGTAACTCAAAACTGGGTTGTCCTGTGTTTGCAATTGAATAGCCAGCATGGCTGCCCCATATCAGCTTAGTTAATCTGCACGGAAAACATGGACTCTGCATTTAATTTTAATGGGAGGAATGTGACTCAGGGGCAGGAACTGAAATGGAGTTTCAAGAAAAAAACACAGTAGCTCAAGGATGGAGAACGCAGATCTAAAGTTACCACGAAAGAGGTGTGGTTGGCTTTTTAATGAATAATATGGAATGTTAGTACAACACACAAAGGGCAGGAACAGAAGCAGCATAATATTAAGATCTGAGGCTCACTGAAGATAATATACAGATAGGGCCACTGGAAGCCAGAAGAGAGAGAGAGAGAGAGAGAGAGAGAGAGAGAGGAAGGAGGGAAGGAAGGGAGGAAGGAAGGAAGGAAGGAAGGAAGGAAGGAAGGAAGGAAGGAAGGAAGGAAGGAAGGAAAAAGGAGAGGAAAAAACAAGAAAATTAATTTTCTTGTAATCTAGTCTAAGAAATTGTCTTAAATATAAAAAAGCTATGTGCATTAAATTGTCATCAATATATTAAAAGTTCAAAATGTTTACATAATTACATATCATGTTGGATAGACCCAACTGAATATTTTAAATGATGATGATAATAAGAATGCGATGCATATCTCATGACATAGTCATAGGATAAATATGAAGCTTGCTTAGTGAAGGGAAAGATTTATAGCCATGTTTAAAAAATAATTCAAGTAAAAGAAACTAAACTTAAAGAAACTGTACCAAAATATTAATTGTGGCTGTTAGGATGATGAGTCTAAATGGTATATTTCCTTTCTTCTCTTTCCCAAATTATTTCACATATTCTACAAGAGTTGTCCTAATGTTTGTCATGTGGGCTTCTCTCCAGTGTACAAGCTTCAGACACTTCCCTGTGGTAAGGTGAAAGAAAACCTTGCCATGGTAGTCCAAATCCCATCTAAAACAACATTCCCCTAGCCTCAAAGCACAGATAGATCCATGGAGATCTTGAGAATGCAAATTCTAATTCAGTAGGTCTGCAGCACAGAGAGACCTGACACTGTATTTACCAGCCACCTAGGTAACTGATGCTGTAGATACATGGGTTAGACTCTGAATAACAAGAATGTGAGTTACTCCACAGACAGGTATGGACATAGATAGGCAGGAATGCGAATAGCATTAGCAACAGAAGAATACAGAGATGGAATCTGAATGCTAACAGTGAGGGGAAGCAGTAATTTTATAACCTAATATCATTCTCTATTTAGACATCAATAATTGTAAGTATTGTTATGAAATACTAGAGGGCTCTTGTCCTCTTAGAATTTACCATCTTTCTAAAATGATGGTAGAAAGATTTTATAAACTTCTGGCAGATTATAATAAAAAAAATTAGTATCTTTTTCCCTGCTCTGGCTATAGTACCAGTGTATTTTATGATTTCTAAGTTCACTGATAACTGCTTCAATTCGTAGGTGGTTTGGGGATTTATTTAAATACACTAAAAATGAGATGAATATTGATGGTGCTTATGCATCTGTTGTTTTTTATGTAGAGACTGTGTTTGGGCTGGACTTGGTCATGACTTCCCCATTTCAAAAGCCAGTCTGAAACATAGCAGTAAACAAAAATGAGACAAAGAAGGGAAAGTAGTCACTAAGGTTTTGTCATCAAAAAGTTATCACTTGGATACTGAAGCTTAATGCTGCCAAGAATCTTGCCCTCAGAGTTATCCCAGCAAGTAGGGAAAAAAACAGGTTATTTATCCACCAGTAGGTTAAAACCTATTTGGGGGAAGTTAGAAAGTTGTTTGAGATGCTGAACAAGTTAACAGAGAGTTGTGGAACCCGGAGAAAAGTCATCCATAAAAGACAAGTAAATAAATAATAAACTTTTACACACAGGTGCTATCAGTTAAAATTTGGACCATTCACGTGGTGAAAGTGTGGCACTGTGTGTATGTGCTACTGCCTTGAATATTAGCATTATTCCAAGGTTTACTTAGCATACCTATTTAATTTCATCTTTCGAACTTTCTGTTTTCCTTAATGTTTGCAAACCTCCTAATTACTTCTTCCTTGGACTAGATCCTTGATCACACTCACTGCAGAGTCTGAGAATAAACCCAGACCTTCAAACTGAGCTATTTCCCAGCCCTTTTTTTCCCTTTTCTTTGTTATTTTGAGACAAGTCTCACTGACTCATTAAACTATCCATACTGAGCTCAAATTTGTGATCCTACTGCCTCCCAAAATACTGGGGTTACAGGTGTGCACCACCATACGTTGTGTCCTGATTATTCTTTATTTCCTTAATTTCTAATGCAGTCTTCCCACACTCCTTGAAGATTTGGGATGATTGTTTTATGAATTTAGTTTTCTCACCTAAAAAACTGCAGTAGCCTTTTAATGGTATATCTGTCTTTACCCTGACCCTCACCATTCCACTCATCACATACTGCTAAAGGTTCAGGCTGGTCTTGGGGCTCACTTGTTAGCCAAAGTCACAGCAGCCCTCCTGCCTCAGTGCTGAGATTACAGGCGTGTGCCACCATGCCCACCTAACCAAATATTATTATTAACACCACAAGTCATTAGGCTAACATATAACCCTTTGTGAGCTAGCCACATTCTACTTGTGTATTTTTCTGTCTACAACTGGCATTCCACAAATACAAACTGCATTCTTCTCATTCTCTAAATAAATTGTGCTGGTTCATCCAATTGTGCTGTTGTATTTGACTAGGAATACCCACCATTGTCTACTTAAAACAACTCTATTGTCATTTAAAATTAGAAGCACACATATCTTTCTTCCAGACATTCATGATCATCTCTTCCCAACTCTTCCATGATTTTACTTTTGCTACTATAATTGTCATTATCGTTTTAACTAGTTTATTATTCCTACTAAAAACTAAGCTTAAGAGTAGCTTCACTGAAATATTTTCAACATTGTGTTGCCACACAGTGTTCAGTGCATCACATCTTTAGTGGAGCTTGCTAGTTCAAATGTAACAATTTGGAAACGCTATATGGATATCCACATATAAGTCTGAACATTTAGACACTCAAAATAAGTCTGTTAAATAACCCAGCTGGTTAGCAGACAGAAGTTCTCTGTGTTAGCCTTAGTAGTATGATCTGCTAGGTATCACTGAGGAGCCTCTAAAACTTTCAGTTCCTTATTTTCAATCTGGTTTGTAACAAAAGTATCAGCATTTTAAGTATCACCATGTTGACCAATGCTTTTCTGTCCTTCATTCTTCTTAAATTCACTGAAGAAAGGAAAACAACTCGAGGTTGGTCATGATAGAAGTAGAGGGTAAAGCATGACTAGTAATCCCTTTACCACTGCAGAGTGGAGCACAAGCTGCTTTTATAGACATCGTTGCATTTGATGGAGTCTCACTCACTGACTTGTAGAAGTGAGAAATGTGTAGGCGTTGGAATCCTAATATATTTCTGGCACATCCCTAAATGTTTAAAATTTGTAGTTAATATCTGCACATATTCCACAACTCCAGGGTCTCATAAACTGTGAGTTTTCCCACCTTCTGTCACTAGAAAAAACTTTTATACAAAAAGTGTGGAATGAAACAGGAGCTGAGTTATTTGTGGCTAAAATGTTCTCTATTTTCTTTGGGCAACAAACAGAGAAACCTTAAAGGTGCTTTAGATCTTCACAAATCCAGTTGATCATTTCTTAAGTAAATCTTCCCTCAAATTTAAGACAAGTTTGCTATAGAAAAAATTTTTAAACTCAAACATTTAAAAAGTTTCTGTGATATCAAGTTCCAGAAACTAGAGCAAGAAGAGAGAATATAATTTATATTCAGTGTTATATACTATACACTTTTTTTCAATTATATTATTAGCATTTCCTATGAAGCTGGACATTGTTTCATTTGCTTAGATAAATTTATACACTATGATTTTGTTGTTTATAAACTGTATGAGGACAAACCAGGTAGGTTTGAGTATGTTTATTTTTCAATATAAAGCATAAGAAATAATGAGGAAAGATTGTCATTTTTATCAATCAAATACATTTGAAAATATGAGAATAAAGAATATTTTCATTTTCCCAAGACTCTTTTCTATTTCCTTGGTAACTTTACATTCACAGGAGCCTTCTAAAAAGTGACTCATTAGTCCTGAAACACATCAGTACTGTAGCAAACAAACATTTTGAGAGGAAATTAGCTGCCACATATGGGGGGTTGGGTGTTTGTTAGTTTATAAATGGGCTCTATCCTACCACATATTTCCAAACATTTATTTGAAGTCACTATGTTCTGCTCTGTGAATGTGAAGTTTCCAAATCATAATTTTGTACACCATTTGACATATACCAGCAATCACAATGTACAGAGCTGAGCACAGCAGCCATTCTACATGGTACAGAACCACACTAAAGATTCTTTTGTACGTTCTGTTAACATCTGCTATTATGAATGTACATGGAACACGTGAGAGAAGAGGATATTTTCCTACTGCAAAAAAGATGTTTCTAGGAAATATAGTGGAAAGATTATATAAAAAATTCATGATACATCACTTAATGTTGTCATGAATCATGCTTTTAACAGAATGAAGTGTTACCATAGATTCTTAAAGGTGCTTGGTAGCAAGACATATGCTATAGTGAGAGTCATTAATCCTGTAAAAATGCTATCTTAGCAATTTTATAGCTAGCGAGCCCTAAATTATCACATCATTTGAGAAGTAAACTACAGCAGCACAGTACCATCCCACACCCCATCTCCTGGATACATTTTTCTTAAATAATATTTACAGTCATTGAGGCTTATGTGGCACACACACATGCACACACAAAATAGCTCTAACAGAATCATCAACAGAAGTGAAAACTGTTTCTTAGAACCTTAAACAGGATAGATACAGGAAAGAATGTAGTCGGAGTTTGAGAATCTAAAAGGATAGTATTCTAGAATTAATTCGCGAAGTTGAAGTGATAAAACTATATATCATGAATTGCTAACTTTGGTCATATAAAGGACAGTTTTAATGTTTTAATACACAATGTTTTACCCAGACCTATAAAATTTTAGCAAAGTTTAGTCTTAAAAAATAAATTACCTAAAAGCACACAAAGATAAAATTTTCTTTTTTATTTTATGAAAAAATAAAACATCTCATAACTAAATAAGAGTACAAGAACACACAAACAGATAACACAAACTTTCTTTTCAATGAACTAAGATAAACTATTAGTATAAATGAGACAAATTAGCATATATATTTGTTACGGTTTGTATTTAGATGTTCCCCCAAAGTCTCATGTGATCATAGGTGACACTTGAAGGTGTCTGAATGTGGATTACGCACATGACATTACTATTTGGCATATGTGTTACTAGATTAGTCTAGTAATTCTTTTATTATAGTCCTGGGTGTGGATAATGGGAAGCCCCACTCTGGGTGTAGATGGCACCCAGGGATAAACGGGAAAAGGAGGCATGCTGCTACTACTTGTTGCTTGGCCACCTCCTGTCTGCCTTGCCAGGGACTGTTTCTCTTCCATGATGCCCCTAAAGCATGCTGCCCTGTCTTAGAAGCAGCCAACTATGGACTGAAACCTCTAAAAACTATGTGCGGAAATAACTTTCCTCCTTTAACTTTGGATGTTGGATATTTTGTCTCAGCAACAAGAGAAGTAACTAAGACATAACTGAAACATTTTTAAAATAACAGAATATGTAACCTAAGGAAGTATTTAAACTTTTCCCTATTTCCTCTTTATCTTTCATCTATTTTGCTCTTTGTATATGTGTACATATACATAAAATAAGAATATAGTAGTTGTAGTATTTATGAATATATATTTCTCATATAATATATATTCTTTATTTGTATATACATTACATATACACACTGTTAATATTAAATGAACTGGGAAATGAAAGGATATCAAGTGACCTTGAATGTTAACTGTAGGTGTTCTTACATTAATAATTTTGTCATACTTTTGTTCTAATTATAATAAAACAGAAAGTACGACATTGTCTAAAATTTAAACTCAAAAAGATATTACTTTATTGTTTCTACCATTTTGACATATGCTTTATTATTCTATATAAAATAGCATTTGATTCTTTGTTTTCCAAATATTATAGTTATAAAGTTTTCGTTAGAAATAATGAATTTATTGATAAAATAGATGTAGTCTTAGCTTGATATGCCTTTTTTTTAAGTAATGGGCATTGAACTCAAGGTATTCACACTGAGTTGTATCAGCAGCCTCTACCCTTTTGATTTATTTTGAATTGGAATTTACTAAACTGCTAAATATCCTTGGCTAGGCTCAAGTCCGTGATCTCCTTGCTTCAGCTTCCCAGAGTGCTGGGGCTATAGATTACAGACATGAATGCTCAGACATTGTTTACTGTGGAATACTTTTTGAATATTAAGTTCACTTTCTTAAATTTCAGTTTGTAATTTTAATTGTATGATCTTCACTTTAGAAAAATCTTTCATACTAAATCAACAAAATATGATATCAATGCATTTCAGTAAGTTTATCACTATAAAAATCTTTTTATAATCTTTTAACACATTTAATCTGATAGACAATCAAAATTAGATCTAAAGTAGATTAAGACCAATAGATTAACTCAGAGAAGTTAGTTAGGGATTTATTGAAGAAGCAATGAATGTTACTAATCTTATGGCTACAACAGATTTTAGGCACTAACACAAAAACTAATAATTTGAAAGGTTAGTAATGATTAATGAAATGTCAGTAGACATTTTCCCAAGAAAAATAGTTCAGATTTTTCCTTAGAAAAAATTTGTACAATGAGAAAGGAAAGAACAAAACTGTAGCTTTCTTTGCATAAAATATAGTTTATTGTTTAATCATTAAAATCTCTAGTATGTATTCTAACAATACTTTTGTTTCATGCATGACCAAATGCAAATGTTATACTTTGAAATGACATTGTAGAAGCAATTCTGCCATACTGAGTAAGAGAGTGATTTTGTGGCCACTTAGATATTCTTTCCCCCAGAGACCATTATTAGCTCAGTGGCATCTGAAAGGGAATTTGACACAGTACTGACTCTGTATAATGTAACTTGAAAAAGTAAGTCTTAGATCTGGTCATATTTAAAACACTTGGATATAAGTGGCTTTTGTAGTATAATCATGGATCATGCAGGTATGTAGGTAAGAGCTTAAAGAAATAGATGAAAATTTGAATGAGTCCTGTGCTTCCATCTGCAGAAATGATTTTTTTTAAGAGGAAGGGAGGAGATATTCAAAATTGAGGGAAAAAGAGATACACCACAGAGAGAGAAAAAATCTGCAGAAATGAAGATGCAAGGAAGGTAAATGGACACAAATAAAAATAGGTCATATTTGGAAATAGATAAATCATCAGCATATTATATTAAAGTAATTTTTTATATGTTTCTTAAAATAAATGAAAGATTTTTTTCAAAGCTGTACCAATAAAAAGTTTATTTTCTTTTTGTTCCATAGATGGTTATGTACTTCGGAGTCATCTGGTAGACAAGTAAGCTTATTTTCTTCTACTACTCTATTTATAAAAAGGAGTCTTGTGTTTTTCTTTAAGAAAGATTTCTAGTATCCTTTAAATAATATAACTGGCTAGACTATCATAAATAAACTGAAAATCATATTTTACACTAATATCAAGTCAGTATATATATAACAAAGTTAAAATTTTCATGAGGGCAAAGAGCCTTTCCCTTTACGCAGTTCAGTTTTATATACTTATCGGGCTGTCCATTGAAGACAGACAGAGCAAAACTACTGAGCCTTTTACTAATGCTCTGCATTTCGCTTGCTGATTAATATAGTTGGTGAATTGAATGAATCAGAGGCTAAGTAATATCTACAAAATAGGTACTAGTGCCACCTGACAACAGCTTACTGGTTAGTCCTTTGTACTGTGAATTTTTCTACATTTATATCAGGCATAGTGGAGTATTATGTTGCCTTTGTTGAAAACATGCCAGAAAAAAGATAGTAGTCAATGATGCTTCTCACCCTTATGAATAAGACGTTGTCACAGACTGCCACAGTCTGATACGAATGTGCCATTAGAATCATCCAAAAAGGATACGATTCTATTTCAGGAAACCCAGTACAAGAAATAAACTCCATTATCAGTTTGGGTCTTACAGCAATGCAAAATATTTATGGAATGCAGCATAATGAGAAAATCAGGAAGATTCCCAAACTGCTATTTCATAAACAACCTGATATCAAGAAGTGGAAAGAGATAAATCATTATTCAGAGCTCTGGCAGCAAAGAGAGTTAAAAGAAAAATCAACGTGGTGTCTATCTTTTTTTACTCAGTAATAATCACAGTGATAGGCAGGGAACATTTCCCGTAGATGCATATACTATGCTTCCATCGTGTTTACCTTCCCTCTCCCTGGTACACTTCCTCTTTCCTAATAAGGCAGTGGGCTTTCAATAGGGCTTGTTCTATGAAAAATACAAATTTTACAGGAAGAATGGTTATCATATGATGATTAAGGGAGAATATAGGGGGTATACTGTGTAAGTAATTATTGGTTTTCCACCTATTAAAGTGAGAAAACATTTATTAAATGAGTGGCAGACAGAAAAATCTGCATCAGATTTCAATAGATCAAAGCCCTGCCGCAGTCTCAGAGGAAGGACCCTAAGGGAAGCCACAAGGAACTCACAACATCTGCCATAGTTGGTAGCCATTGTAGATCCTGCTCCTGCTCCTATGATGAAGCACGGAGAGAGGACCAGAATTCAGAGTGGGTCTGGTCTAAGTGACAAACTTACCTCACATATAAAAACTTTGGAACTGTATCCTACGTTTCATGAGAATGCACGTATTTATAATACTTTCTAACTTATAGGCTATTCTGTTTCTCATTAGATTATAAGCTCCTTAAAAAGCCATGCTTGTACCTTACTCTTACGTATGCCTCCTTGTACACAAGAGGGACCCAGTATGTTTGCTGTGTGGAATATTTCACCAGATTCAGGGCCAGGCAAAACTTGAATTGTATAAAAGTAGTCAAAATTACTATTGTGGATGATACCTTTAATAATAAATAATATTTTAAAATTATGGAATATAAGAATCTTCCTAACAACTATACCTCAGTTACTTGTAACTAATATTCACATCTTATAAAATTGATATTTATAAGTTATAATTAGAAATGTGAAAATGGTGGGGCTGTTTCCAGTACCAAATATTATTGTGTTTAATTCAATGTTTGAAATTAAAATGAAAGTATAAATCTAATATTAATGGATTTAAAACTCTGCTAGCGTTTGGGAGTAAAGCCGTTGGTGGGGAATTTGCCATGACTCAGCACTCATTTCTGAGTGCAGTTGTATGCTGACTCATGGTGAGATTTGAAGATGCTAGAGGAGTTCATAGTCTGCTTCAATCATCCTGTTTGTTGATGAACCAGGATTAAATAAAGCCAATGAAAAGAGATGCAAATATGAATATGAAATTTCTTTCCACTTGTAAATGTGTAACATGTAACTGCTCTCCATGAAAGGTCTGTGTTCTATAAAATTACACTAGTGCCCTTTTTTGCTATCTGTTGCTTTAATGTTAAGAAGCTTTTTTTGACAAAATGAAAATTATTTTCTGCCTTTACAGTGAGGGAGAGATCTACGATGATATTGCTGATGGTAAGTATCATAGACCACTATCACAAAGAACATCAACATGGAATTTATTATTTATACAAATACTGAAAATAACTTGTTGGATTAACTAAAGCCTTCCAATCTGATCAAACTTTAAGTTGGAAAAGGTAATATTGCTCTGGTATCATGGAGGAAAAATCATGTTCATGCAGGGATGGAAATTAAGAAAAATCTTATTTATTTCCTTTGAAAAATACAAAAGACATTGGATGAATTTTAATTCATATACTACAAATGTTAAAAATTTCTTTCAGCCAAATAAATATTCACTATTGGTCAATAAGTAGGACCTTATTTCAGAATTAATAATACTAACATGTGTCATACTTTGCTAAAGTTTAATTTAAAATTAATCTCAAGTGAAATAGAATTTAGTGATAAGTATGTTGCTCTTTAGTCTTTTAATCATATAAAACTTACTGATATTTAGCATCTTCAACCTCATTCAGAATGACCACAGAAAAGTACTTTTATAAGTGCCAGATAAAATAAAATAATTTGGGGTTCCATTTTTGATGGAGAATAAATCTATATATAAATTTTTTTGGAATGGTACACTGAATAATGAGAATTAAATACATAGTCTTTTATTTCATTTGTTTTTCATAAAATGAGCCAATTTTGCCTTCTCTTTTAAATCTTAAATCAAGAGATCACCCGTATCTCCAACCTTGGAACATTTAGAGGGCAAGGGTTACATATAACTGTATTTAAATTTGTATGTTTTTTTCTTTCAGGTTGCATCTATGACAATGACTAGCTGTCAGCTCTGTTCATTCTGCTGTGTATATTGTTGTTCATGAAGTTTAACTTCTACATGGAACACATAATTGGACATCACAGACAAATGAATGCACAGAAATACTTATGACCATTCATTACAAAATTCTTATTTTCTTTATAAAGTTTTGAAAATTTGAACTTAAAAGCCTTTCTACTTAAATATCAAAGGACTGCATCAGATATAAGAATTATTAAATTTCTGCTTTGGCTGCAATAAAGGCATTTGCTTTTAGACTATCAATGGACAATTTCTTCTATCCACCTCCCCATCCAAAAAGAAAAAAAAGGAAATAATTCTAGAAAAAAATGACCATTCTGTCTAGAAAACATGAAGAAGAAGAATAAAGAGTATATAGAAGGAATTGTGAAGCATTCCACAAGAATGAAAACTTTTGTTTATTCACTTGCAATAGTATATTGTCTGTTCAAATCATCCATCTTTTTAAAAGGCAGAACAGTCTCTTTTGCTGGTGGATTTTCAAAAATTATTGTAAAAACATAACTTTGTATAGTTTGTTCCTATTTGTTAATTGTGAATATGTCTTAATTATTTGATAAGATCATTACACATTCAAGTATGCATATCTAAGATTAAACTGTAGAAGAGACTAAAGTGAATTTTATTTTTCCAGATTCATGTGATGATCATTTAGTTTTGAATTCATTTTAAAGTCCTGTTGTAACTACAGTGGGTATAAAGGAGGCTTCCTAAAGCTATGAAGAATGGAAGAACAGACCTTGAATTCGCTAGTCTTTGATGGCTACTATTTATTATGAAGAGTCTTTTAAAGATCTTAAGTTTTGTCTTTCTTTTCCATTACATCTCCAGAAATTTATCAAAAATACATTTCTAACTAGTTTACTAGAAAGTTGGCCAGACAAAGCGTAGCTTAATAAATCCCAGTGATCAAACTGAAGTGCACCCTACTGGTACATATTCATACCCGTGCAACCCAGTTTCACAAAACTATGAAACATCTGATTTCAGATGCATAGAACACTGAACAACATGATACAAAATGCAAAATCCTAAAATCCAAGAAAATAATATACTTGGCCATCTTTATCACAACATCTAAAATATGAAATACACAAATCCTAAAGCTTGATGGTCTATTGAATCATAATGTGATTCAAAATATATTAATTTTATTATCTGTAAAACCAGCTTTCTCAACATTTTTAGTTTCCTAATTTTTAAAATTGGTACATTTTAGATATACATGATAAATTCATCATAGGAAATTTACATCTGTATAGGAAATATTTTCTTTGTTTCCTATTCCCCTCCCTCCCTTCAACCCTTCTTCCCTTCCTTATTTACAAAAGTTTTACTTTCAATTTTTTCTTTCTATTCTCTTTTTCATGTCCCTTCCTTCCTTTTCGCCTCCCTCTTGTTCCCCTTCTCATTTGAACATTTTATTCCCTTTTCAAATATCTATTCTACATTTTACAAATATCTACAAATATCTATTCTACATTATACTTTTGGTTTCTCACACCAGAGAAACATTGGGGTATTTAAATATGTGTGTCTGATTTCTTTCACGTGAAAGTATGGTCTCAAGGTCCATCAATTTACCAATAAATGCCTCTACTTTATCCTTCTTTATGGACAAGAAGTACTCATATATATACTTTAAAAACTCACATCTTTTGTTATCCATCCATTTATTAATATACATTAGCATTGTTTCCAAGATTTAACTATTACAAACTGTACCACTGTAAACATGGGTATACATATATCACTGTGGTGTAATGCTTTTAACTTTTGAAAAGATAGCAACAAGGAAAATAACTGGGTCAAATGAAACCCCTAGTTTATAGATTTTTGAGGAACCAACACATGGATTTCCACAGTAGTTGCAGCAGTCTACACTCCCACCAACAATGGAGAAGGGTTCCTTTTTCTCTATAGCCCCCCACCACATGTTATTGGTTGATTTCTTGATGATAGCCATTCTTTCCAGATTGAGATGGAAACTCAGTGTCATTTAAATTTGTGTTTCTTCCAATGACTAGTGATGTTGAACATTTTTTTATATATTTGTTATTTTGATTCTTCATCTGAGATGTGTCTATTCATTTCAGATGCTCACTCTTGGACTAGATCTTTAAATTTGGGGGATCTGATTTTTTTAAAATTTTTTATATGTTCTAGCTATTAGTCTTTTGGCTAAGAAACACTGACAATTTTGTCCCACACTGTGGGCTGTCTCTTCACTCTGTTGGTGATTTCTTTTGCTGTGAAAAAGCTTTTTAATAAGATGAGATCCAAGTTATTGAGTCTGTGTGATATTTCCTGTAGGACTAAGGTTTTGTTCATAAAATCTTTGCCTATACCTATGTCTTCCAGCAGATTTAGTGTTTCTGTTTTAATGTTTAGATATTTTTTAAACTATTTTGATTCAATTTGATTTTAGTGTATGGTGAAAGATACGAGTTTAGTTTTAATGTTCAACATATAGAATGCCAGTTTTTCCAGGATCATTTATGAAAGAGGCTATCTTTCCTCCAGGGAAAATGTTCAGCTCCTTTGTCAAAGATAAGATGGCTGAGTGTGTTTGAAGTTGCTTCTGTACCTTCTGATGTCTTCCACTGATCATCTGGTCTGTTTTGTGTCGATGTCACTCCCGGCCGGCAGGAAAGACACACGACAAGGTCTGGCGGTGGTCAGGCTTTTCTTTATTCTCTCCTTATACAGTCTGCCCCGAAGCCTCTACCGGTCCGCTCTCCGCGGCTCCTTCCGTGCTTCAGTCTGCCCCGAAGCCTCTACCGGTCCGCTCCCCGCGGCTCCTTTTGTGCTTCAGTCTCCCCCGAAGCCTCTACCGGTCCGCTCCCCGCGGCTCCTTTTGTGCTTCAGTCTCTCCCGAAGGTGGAGGCACTGGCTATATATAGGATTAATAGCTAGGCAGACTACCCTGTGAGGCGGGAACTTAGTGGGGTGATAAGAAACAGGTGCCACACAGGCGGGCTCGATGAGAGGGGTAATCTAGCTCAGGCTTTTGTACTTTCCCACAGGCCTCGCAATCACCGCGTCTGATGACTTGACAGTGCCACGGCTCCCAACAGTTTTGTTTGTTTGTTTGTTTGTTTGTTTGTTTGCCATTGCCATGCTGGTTTTTTGAGGTTGTTTTGTTTTGTTTTTAATCACAGTAGCTTTGCAGTCAGGGATTGTGATGCTCCCTACCTTGCTTTTGTTACCCCAAATCGTTGCTGCTATTCTAGGTCTCTTCCGCTTCCAAACTTAATTTTAGAGTTGTTTCCTCTAATTCTGTGAGATATGCTATAGCTCTTTTGATTGGGATTGCATTAAATCTGTCAAACAATTTTGGAAGTTTGGCCATTTTCACTATGTTGATTTTTCCTATGCAAGAACAAGGGATATCATTCCATTTTCTGATATCTTCAAATTCTTTATCAGAGTACTGTAGTGTTTAACATTAAGTCTTTTACATTCTTCATTAGACTGATTCCTAGATATTTCATTCTTACTGATACTGTTGTAAAAAGTGTTGTTTCCCTAAATTTTCTCTCAGTGAGTTTGCTATTTGTGTATAGGAATGCTATTGATTTTTTAATGTTGACTTTGTATCCAGCTACACTACTGAATTTGGTTATTAAATATAGAAGTTTTTTGGTGGAGGATTTGGGATCTTCTATGTAGAGTATTGTATCGTCTGCAAATAATAATAATAGTTTTAATTAATCCTTTCCTATCCTCATCCCTTTCATTTCTTTCTGTCTAATTGCTCCAGCTAATGTTTCCAGAACTATACTGTGTAAGAATGGTGATGATGGACATTCTTATCTTGTTTCTGATTTTAAAGGGTAAGATTTCAGTTTCTGACAATTTAGTATGATGTCAGCCATTGGTTTGTCATAGATGGCTTTTATCAAATTAAGATAAATCTATTCCAATTTTCTGTGGGATTTTGTCATAAAGGGTGTTAGACTTTGTTAAATCCCTTTTCTATACCTATTGAGGTGATCATATGGTTTTTGTCCTTGGCTTTGTTAATATGGTATATTACATTTATTGGTTTGTGTACGTTGGGAATCAGAGCTTGAGTCTAGTGCCTTAGACCACTCGGCCATCCTGACATCCCGATTTGTGTATGTTAAATTTTTCCTGCATTCCTGGGATGAATCCCACTTGGTCATGGCATATAATCTTCTTGGTGATTTGCTGCATTCTTTTCACAAGTATTTTATTGAGTATTTTTGCAACTATGCTCATTAGGGAGATTGGCTCTAGTTCTCCTTTTGATTAGATATTTCTCTGGTTTTAGTATCAGGATAATGCTTGCTTCCAAGAATGAATTTGGAAGCATTGCTTCCCTTTCAATTTAATTAAAAAGTTTGAGAAGTAGCAGCAGTAGGAGTTCTCTAAATTTCTTATAGAATTCAGCAGTGAATCCATCAGGACCTGGGCTTTCCTTTGTTAGTAGGTTTTTAATTATAGCTTCAATTTCAGTGGCTGATATTATATTATTTAGAATTGTATCTTATTAATTCAGCTTTGGTATTTCATATGTTTCTGATTATCTCCATTTTTCTGTGTTTTTTGTCTTGTTAGAATAGATAGAAGCAAATATTGATGCTCTTCTCAATTTCTGCAGGATCTGTGTGATTTCACTCTTTTCATTCCTTACTGCATGGATTTGAGTCAAAAACTTTCCTTTTTGATAAGATTGGCTAAGGATTTGTCAATTTGACTTAATCTTTTAATGAACCAACTCTTGGAGTCATTAAGTCCTTTGTATTGTTTTCTTAGTCTCCCTTGCATTAACTTCTGCTCTGATCTTTATAATTTCCTCCCCTAGATGATCATTGAGCTTGACTTGCTCTTCTTTTTCTAGAACCTTGAGGTTCAATACTGGGTTATTCATTTGAGCTAGCACAATTTCTCTGACATGGGAATTCATTGCTTTAAATTTCCCTTGAAGACTGCTCTTTCACTGTGGCCAGTAAATTTTGGTATATCACATTGGCATTATAATTTAATTGTAGCAACGTATAATTTCTTCCTTAATTTTATCTGTGACCCAGTGGTTGTTCAGGAGGGTGTTATTTAATTTCCACGTGTTTATGAAGTTTTTGTGGTTTCTTTTGCCATTGATTTCCAATTTTCAATTGCACTGTGGTCTGATAATATGCGTGGGATAATTGCAGTTCTTTTGCATTTACTTAAGCATGCTCTATGAACTACTATATGGTCTATTTTGAAGGCTCTCT